GTATGGTATGGTATGGTATGGTAGGAACGTAGATCGATCGGTAAATTGAGAGCTTCGCCATTTGACTCAGCTCTCTCTACACCACGACAGACCTGTATAGCGCCTGCTTCACTGCAGACGCTGCACCTATCCGCCTATCGATCTCACGCTCCATTTTTCCCTCATTCGTGAACAAGACCCCAAGATACTTAAACTCCCCCACTTGGGGCAGGACCTCCTCCCTGACCCGGACAGGGCACTCTACCCTTTTCTGGCTCAAGACCATGGCCTCGGATTTGGAGGAACTGATCCTCATCCCAGCCGTGTCGCATTCGGCTGCAAACCGTTCCAGGGAAAGCTGTAGATCACAATCTGATGAAGCCAATAAGACAACATCATCTGCAAAAAGCAGAGATCCAATCCTAAGGCCACCAAAACGGATCCCCTCAACACCTTGGCTGCGCCTAGAAATTCTGTCCATAAAAGTTATGAACAGAATCGTTGAATAAAGGCAACCTTGGCGGAGTCCAACTCTCAACGGGATCAAGCCCGACTTACTGCTGGCGATGCGGACCAGGCTCTGACACCGGTCATACAGGGACCTAACAGCCCGTATCAACGGGCCCGGTACCCCATACTCCCAGAGTACCCCCCACAGGGTTCCCCGAGGGACGCGGTCAAGTCGGATGCCTTCTTCAAGTCGACAAAGCACATGTAGACCGGTTGGGCAAACTCCCACGCACCCTCCAGGACCCTGCTGAGAGTGTAGAGCTGGTCCAGTGCTCTACGGCCAGGACGAATACCGCACTGCTCCTCCTGAATCCGAGGTTTGACTATCCAACGGACCCTCCTCTCCAGATCCCCCGAATAGACCTTACCAGGGAGGCTTAAGAGCTTGATTCCCCTGTAGTTGGAACACACTCTACGGTCCCCCTTTTTGAATAGGGGGACCACCCCCCCGGTCTGCCAATCCAGGGGAACTTCCCCCGATGTCCACGCAATATTGCAGAGTCACTTAAGCCAACACAACCCTACAACATCCAGAGCCTTAAGGAACTCTGGGCGAATCTCATCCACCCCTGGGGCCCTGCCACCGAGGAGCTTTTTAACCACCTCTGTGACCTCAGCACCAGAGATTGGAGGGCCCGACCCAGAGTCCCCAGGCTCCGCTTCCTCAGTGGAAGACGTGCCAGGGGGATTGAGGAGGTCTTCAAAGTATTCCGCCCACCGACCCAAAACATCCCGAGTTGAGGTCAGCAGCACACCACTCCCACTATAAACAGTGTTGGTGGCGTACCGCTTTCCCCCCCTGAGACGCCGGATGGTGGACCAGAATCGCCTCGAAGTCGTGCGGAAGTCATTCTCCATGGCCTCTCCGAACTCCTCCCATGCTCGAGTTTTTGCCTCAGCGACCACCCGAGCTGCATGTCGCTTGGACTGCCGGTACCCATCAGCTGCTTCCGGGGTCCCACAGGCCAAAACGGCCTGATAGGACTCCTTCTTCAGCCTGACAGCATCCCTCATCGACGGTGTCAACCATCGGGTTCGAGGGTTGCCGCTGCGACAGGCACCAAAAACCTTGCGGCCGCAGCTCCGGTAAGCCGCCTTGACAATAGAGGCACGAATCATGGTCCACTCAAACTCAATGTCCCCCACCTCCCCCGGAACATGTTCGAAGTTCTCCCGGAGGTGGGAGTTAAAACTCCGTCTCACAGGAAACTCTGCCAGACGTTCCCAGCAAACCCTCACAATACGTTTGGGTCTGCCAGGTCTGACCGGCATCCTCCCCCACCATCGGAGCCAACTCACCACCAGGTAGTGATCAGTGGACAGCTCCGCCCCTCTCTTCACCCGAGTGTCCAAGACATGTGGCCGCAGATCAGATGAGACGATGACAAAGTCGATCATCGAACTGCGGCCTAGGGTGTCCTGGTGCCAAGAGCACATATGGACACCCTTATGCTTGAACAAGGTGTTCGTTATTGACAATCCATGACGAGCACAGAAGTCCAACAACAGAACACCACTCGGGTTCAGATCAGGGGGGCCATTCCTCCCAACCACACCCTTCCAGGTCTCACTGTCATTGCCCACATGAGCATTGAAGTTTCCCAGCAGAACAAGGGAGTCCCCAGGAGGTGCACTTTCCAGTACCCCCTCCAAGGACTCCAAAAAGGGTGGATAATCTGAACTGCCGTTTGGTGCATAACCACAAATGACAGTCAGAACCCGCCCCCCCTCACGTAGGCGGAGGGAGGCCACCCTCTCATTCACCAGGGTGAACCCCAACACACAGGCACCAAGTTGGGGGGCAATAAGTATGCCCACTCCTGCTCGGCGCCTCTCACCAGGGCCAACTCCAGAGTGGAAGAGTGTCCAGCCTCTCTCAAGGAAACTGGTTCCAGAGCCATGCGTAGAGGTGAGTCCGACTATATCTAGCTTGAACCTCTCAGCCTCACACACCAGCTCAGGCTCCTTCCCCACCAGTGAGGTGACATTCCACGTCCCAATAGCCAGCTTCTGTAGCCGAGGATCAGACCGCCAGGGCCACACAAAGTCTTACAAATCAAATCAAAGGCATCCATTGAGTCTGTCTTTGTACATTCAGAGGTCATTTAGCTTTGTTCTACAACTCACAGTAATGTGTGAGGCACCTACAGCTGGTTACAAACCTCACGGCACAGTGGTAAACAGTGTTCAATGATTAGAGACATTTAGCCGAGGCATTCGTGTACAAAACATCATCATAATCAAGCAAAGGTAAAATGGTTGCTGAAACCAGTTATTATCTTTGAGGGAGAGCCAGGATCCATTGCAGTCATAGAACACAAGCTTCACCCTCAGTTTTCAGACAAATTGGTAATGTGTGTTTTGAAAGAGAGCTCCTTATCAAGTGTAAAACACAGGTTAGCAAGTAACTCAATTTGTTTACCTTGAACAGTATTAATCATTGAAGCAATCTCTGATAGCCTTTATGAATATAAGAATACCCTCGCTTTAGTTTTATCTAAACTGTTTGAAAGTTTGTAAACAAGATATAACAATGTTTAAAGCAGACTCTAAAAAAGTTCAATCTGGTCCTCTGGACATTCAAAAAACAAAACAAAGCAAAACAACAAAAAAATTGTAGAAACGTTTCGTCTCTCATCCGAAAGACTTCCTCAGTCTGAGGTGCTGTATTCTTCTCAGTCTCTTAAATAGCACCTTCTCAGAGTGGATCAACCAGTTTGCTGCTGACAACCAAAACCAGCTTCTCACATGATCAAGAAGGACCATCAGCCTAACAATGGATCATTAGCACACTGATGGCTGTTTACTATTCACAGAGGGTTGAGTGATACTAGCAATCACAGCATTGAAAGAGGTACAGTTGAACACGGAAGCCTCCACCTCTGTTTAATGATGGACCTGGATTATTGAGCATGCATCAGGATATTTAAAGCAGACTGTAAAACCTACAGCCTGTGAGAGTGAAAAGGAGCAGCAATAGATTACCGGGTCATCAACATAAAAATTATAAAAGGCATTTGACAAATTGTCATGTGAGTTGTTTATTTTTATTTTTTGTTTTTCTTCTTTCGGCTGCTCCCTTCTTCAGGGGTCACCACAGCGAACTAACTCGCACGAAGACATGGCAATTATTTTTACGTCGGATGTCCTTCCTGACGCAACCACAGAGTACAGAGCTACCACAGCCCTCTGTGTGGAGCAGAGAGCTGCTTTCTAGAGCGCTCAGGGGAGCAGATGGTGGGGGTTCAGGGCCTTGCTCAAGGGCCCAGAGTGGGATGAATGAGGGTTGAGACAGGTGTGGGTGTTTCACTATTCCCACCCACATTTTGATGTTGTAGGTACCAGGAGTTGAAACAGCAATCTTTCAATTTAAGGGGCCACCTTCTCTAACCTCTGCACCAACCCCTTGTTGTTTATATGAATGGAAAATAAAATGGGTCCTTGGACTGAATCTTGCGGGACTCCTTTTGTGATCTCAAGAAGAGAGGAACAGGAGCCAGCCAGTTGTACACACTGTTTTCTGTTTAACAATTGAAGGCAGCGCAGTGGTGCAGATGGTAGAGCTGCTGCCTCTTAGCGAGCAGGTCCCCAGTTCAAATCCCAGACGGGGGGCTTTCTGGTTGTAGTTTGCATGTTCTCTCCGTGCATGTGTGGGTTTTCACCAGGTACTCCAGTTTCCTCCCACAGATCAAAAACATGCATGTTAGGCTGATTGGTAACTCTAAATTGTCCCTAGATGAGAGTGAGAGTGTGAGTGGTTGTTTGTCTCCATGTATCCCTGTGATGGACTGGAGACCTGTCCAGGGTGTCCCCCGCCTCTCGCACTGGGATTGCTGGACATGGGCATCAGGGACCCCTGTGACCCAAAAAGGAAGAAGCGGGTAAAGATGATGGATGAATGGATGAAGTGGTCACTGAACAAATTGGCAGCTCGATTTGAAAGGCCAGTCTGATGCTGAATTTTGATCAAAAGTGTGTGATCCACGATGTCAGAGGTCTTAGACAAGTTGTTGAACAGGGCAAGATCTAGATCTTAAATGCAATATTCATTTGCCTTTACTTGTCCCAAGGTCCAGGCTGGTCCACAGAGGCTTTTTCAGTTGTTGCTCCTAAGCTGTGGTACCAGCTGTGCATCCCTTCATATTAGGCAGGCCTCATCTCGGAGTTTTGAAGTCACGTCCTGAAACACATCTGAATTTTCTGGGTTTTAATGCTGCATGGCCGTTTACCTTTTTCTCCATTTAGTGCTTTTATTTTGAGTCTTGTCATGTTTCTTTTTTACGTTTTGAACTATTGTTCTAATTTATTGCTTTTGTTTGCAGCATTTTGGCCAATTTTATTCTTGAATATATTGTATAAATAAATTGTATTTGATTTTAAAACCAGGAACATATTTCTTAGTCTTATTCTGAGTTTAGGGAAACTGTCTTTAGAGGAAATTATCGTCAGCTGCACAAGTTACTTGCAAAGATAGTAAGTATTCTTTTTTGTATTTGTGAAACTGTGTGCAGGGCCTCTTACCAACCACTGCTCCTCCTTTCAAGAGTTTTCTACCAACGGTGCAGATCCAAGTGAGTTAACTTGCCCTTTCATAATCACATTTAAATTTAAAGTTCCTCATGTTGTCATGCAGCCTCAGAATGATTGTAATCACCAAACTGATGATGGCAGTGAACCTTCTGAGGTGTCTTTACTTGTGAGGGGTTATTCAGCTTTGACAGGTTTCTGGACTGAGCGTCTGTCATCAAGGGGGTCACAGGTAGAAATGGTCATGTGGTTTGGGGTTACTCTCCCTTCTCTTGTACCCTCACTTTCTATATTACTATCTGTTTCTGGAAATCTTACATTTTCTGATGATTTTCCTATAATTTTAGTTTGTATTGAATTACAATTTTAAATTCCTTTTTTTGCATGTTTGTGTTTTAAAGCAGACACCTCTCAAATGTTTGTAAATGTATTACTCTGTCTAATGATCTCTTTCAAACAAGTAAATTGAACAGATTTTATATTTTCACCATTTGCATGATGCAATTTTTCTTCTTGAATCCCCAGTCAGCACCATTAGCTAAGGACACACGTTGGGGCCTTGTTCACACGAGAACAGTTTTTCTCGCATACAGTCTTTTTATTTCTTGTTTGGAAAAATGTCCTTGTAAGGCGTATTATGGTTTAGTCTCTATGTCTGTAAACTTTTAATTCAATTTACCAGTAATTCAGTTTATTTATATAGCACCAAGTCACAACAGAAGTCGTCTTAAGGCACTGAACAGAAACATTCATACATATATACATATATATATACATATATACATATATATATATATATATATATATATATATATATATATGTATGAATGT